ACTTTGCAACGTGTGTGCTCAAATAATAAAAAGCTTCAGTTAAAAAATCAGTCATTAAATAATTTCACCAGATGTTCAGTTAGTCGGGGCCCTGCTTGTTATTGTCTGGATAGAGTTTTGACCAGTAAATAAAAACACAACAAATATATATTACATAAAAGTTAAATACTCTACTATTCCTAAATCTACAGGGTCCTCCAGGAGAGCCCGGACCCGCAGGCCCTCCCGGTCCCCCAGGACCTCCCATTGCTGCCATGGATGACCTCTTCGGCGGCCCTCAGGATTACGACGACGGCCCCCCTCCTCCTCCTGAGTTCAGCGAGGACGAGGCTCTGCCCAACAGCAACTCCTCCACTATAGTGCCCATCGACCCCGGTGTTCAGGCCACCCTGAAGGCCCTCAGCAGCCAGATCGACAGCATGAAGAGCCCCGACGGCAGCAGGAAACATCCTGCCAGGACATGTGACGACCTGAAGAGATGCTACCCCATGAAGAAGAGCGGTGAGTGTCAGACTCTTGCAAGAGGCCTCTATGTGTGGAGAACACTTACAGAAATCTTTATCCTACACTTTCCATGTACTAAACAGAACTGACACACACATTAGGAGTGACAAGTCTTAGTGTACAGTATGAATTTTAATCACAACCTTCTCTATCTTTGTCCTCTATTTTATTATACTCTTATCTTAGCTGTTGTTTTTCCTGTTCATCTTCTCAGTGCTTCTCTTTAATGTAATAAATCTAGAAATTTTATCATGATGCCTCTGAACTGTGAACTAAACCTGCTTACATGCAATGTAAGTGATTTATTTCCTAGCAGAACAGAATAAATCAAAGATGTCGCCAAAGGCAACATGTCCAAAATTCCAAGTACCATTTTGTTGTGCAGGTGAGTACTGGGTGGATCCAAACCAAGGCAGTGTGGAGGACGCCATCAAAGTGCACTGCAACATGGACACAGGCGAGACCTGCATCTCTGCCAACCCAAGCAGCATACCTCGTAAAGTGTGGTGGAGCTCTTCCAGGAACAAACCTGTGTGGTTCGGAGCGGACATCAACAGCGGAACACATGTGAGCAGTTAGAGTTTGATGGTGGGAGAGGGAAGCAGGGCTGTGTACGGCAAAGGCCCAGTGAAGCTGTTAAAGGCTTCATGGAACAAGAATCTTGTAAAGAATCTGTTCTTGTAATTGAAACATTAAGACAACAACAGACTGAGTGAGAAACAGTTCAAATTTGGGGAGGAAAGTGGTGGAAAAGGCCATGTTGTGTTTTCAGAGGTGCATCTCAGAGGCTCTGTGTTGAATGCTTTATTTGTTTCTCTAGTTCGCTTATGGCAACAAAGATCAGTCGGCAAACTCCGTCACAGTCCAGATGACGTTCATCCGCCTGCTCTCCAAAGAGGCAGCCCAGACCATCACCTACCACTGCAAGAACTCTGTGGGCTATAAGGACGAGGCGACGGGCAACTTAAAGAAAGCTGTGATCCTCAAGGGCTCCAACGATCTGGAGCTCAAAGCAGAGGGAAACAACCGGTTCAGATACACAGTGGTGGAGGACTCCTGCTCAGTAAGTTCCCGCATTTCAACAGTGGCTTTGCTCTTTTTACTACCTATCGAAAGGACGCTGTACGGCTGGCATTATTCTAGATTTTTCCTGTTCTCAACAAATCCCATGAAATGAACAAAACCAACGATGAGTTAGTCCGTTCCTCAAGACTTTCTGAGAAGTAAAATGTTTACAAAACTGGTTACTAATACAGAGTTTCATATAAAAAAAAAAAAAAGGAAATCTATTTCCTGAAATAGCCTGGTACTGCAGCTGTACACAGGTAATGATCACCTGACTGGAATTCTCCCCATCTATGGTGCATTTGGCATCTTTCATCAATTTAACCTGGCCCATGTTACTGTTTTGGTTCACTCTCAGCACCGTTTCCAGCAAGAGCAGGCAGCTATTTTCAGTGAAAACATCCAATAAACTCACTTTCGCAAACTGCCCAGCAACAAACAGCGGACCCACAAAGTCGGCAGCTAGCTGGCAAACATAGAGGAGTTTAGCTGCTGATGAGCCAGATTGCCGCATTAGTTGACTATTTGGGGCAGCAGGACGAGGTATGTGGGATTGAGTCAAAGTGAACTACAGTGTGTGTGTTCATGGTAACAGTGAGGCTCACTGATGAGTTTTTAATAGTTTTTGGACAACAATGGAGCTCTAATGGCACAGAGGAAGATCAGGGTTAGGATACGCAGCCAGTACTCGCTAGTGCGATTTATTCACTGATGGTTTGAGTCTTTTCGTAGGAGTTATCGCATATACGACAGATATAAAACAATTAATGAGTGTCTACAGTTACTATGCAAAAAAAAGAAATTCTGAAGTAAGAGCAAAGCAACATCCAGCAAGTCATTAAAATAATGTACACCATTTCTTTGAGATGTATTGCCCTACATTGTAGAGTAGAATTAATTTAACTTTTATTTGTCTCTTTTACAGCAAGCAAATGGCAACTGGGGCAAGACAGTGTTTGAGTACAGGACACAGAAAACAGCAAGACTTCCTATTGTGGATATTGCCCCTGTGGACATTGGTGGCCCCAAGCAAGAGTTCGGCGTCGATATCGGGCCTGTGTGCTTCTTGTAAAATCACCAGCATGGATGCGTCGGGGAGAATCCTGAGACTATTGAACTGACAGCTGATGGCGATCAGCCGCGTTGTACATACGAGTACTGAGGACTATTCTGGCCCTGTGGCAAGATATTTATTGTGCCTTTCAACCCAGTTCAAGACATCGAAGATTTGTAAGTTAGGATGAATGTTTGGAATTTCCTCACAAAATTCGGAGAAAATCAAAATCATTCCTCTGTCTTCTTGTGTATGTTTGACTTAAAGCTTCATGCATTTCCAGGCTCACTATGATGTAGTTTGGTCAAAAGATCTTTAATTTTATTTCACTAAACAACATTGCCAAAGACTTATGAATATGAAAGCTTTAAAATTGTAACTATAACTGCTGTTTATAGGCCCAGAAAAATCCAACTGAAGCTGCATCGTCCCTCCAAAACTATTTTTTACAGATTTGTCTTTGAATTTTTTTGTTTTAAATGTTTGAATATAAAACTACATTGTGGTGCTATTGAGGAAACAAATACAGCCGGTGATGAGTTCACTGGTGCAGGTATTTTCTCAAGACAGTTTTGATGAACCAGTGTCTGTCTCCAAGTCTTTTAAACTCTGTACCGACCACGTAGACCATTAAAGACACTAAGACTGTTGATTCCTCAGTGTTAGCTACCTCGTCACCGAAACTGAGAAACCATGACACTACATGTAAATCTTTTTTCGCAGGTGCTGTTTTGTAAGTAGTGTGATCCTTGTGCACTTCACCCGGCCGCGCGGTACAGGGCAGGGTTTGGGCAAACCAATAAAGATCTTTCTGTCAACGACGGAGAGATGAATGAGGAGTCGCGTGAGTGGTGTGTGGTGATTTGTAACATTGTTTTTCCTTCAATTTCAATATCGTACAGTAAAAGGTAGCACAGAATGATCTATTTTTATGCATGTCAGTTCCCCCCCGTTCATTATCTTGGACTTATATGCTCTTGAAATCCTTTTTATAATCAGTTTTATAGAATAAGGTGGCTGTGAGTGCCTGTTTGCTTTGTATTTCTTGCTCTGCAACAAATTAAACAAAATGCTTGTTAATCCCCCCCAAGCTCTTGTCATATTAATTCAGGTATAGTTAGGTCCTTTACGTTTGTCTCATTTTTAGACATATTTTTCTAGTTTAAAAAAAAACATTTATGTATTTAACATTCACAGTTGTTTCAAATGTAAGCTGTCTGATTTAAATTTTAATGAGTGTGCTTTCAAGTAATTCTATTGTGACCATTTGGTTCATATTTGAGCATATTTATTATAGATTTGTAACTTTTGAAAGGCTTGACTGCCTGCTAACACCCCCGAGGCAGAGAGGCGTGTGGAGGAGGAGGAATGGGCTCTCCACACTGGAAGCAGATGCGTTTCATCCTTTGAAAATAAATATTGAAAATACTTCTCTCTGCCTGTTCTTGTCTCAGAAGATTTCATTTGGGCCTTTAAAAACTTTGTACCCTAATAGAATAATTTCAGCCTCGTGAGGGTGTGAAATCCTGAGGCAAAAACCCAGAAAATGTGAGGTCGGACCACAAATTGAACACAGATGCAAGTGAAGAAGTAGGACAGCGATAGAGTGATACTGCTCCTGAAACTTCATCTACATTACAAATAACACAAGAATCCAGAGCAAGACTAAGAGTCTACCTCCGCCCGGCTTTACTTAGGCACAATAATGCTTTGAACTGCATGCAGAAGTCAGCATGCTGACATGCTCACAGTGACAGTGTTAACATGTTGATGTTCAGCAGGTAATATTTGCCTGGTTCACTATCTTAGTTTGGCATATTAGCATGCTAACATTAGCTAATTAGCACTAAAAACAAAGGAATGCGAACATGGGAATTAGTTTAGCTCGTATTTGGTCGTAAACCAACGTGCTGGAGATATTAAATTTGGAGCCGATTATGGCACTAGATGAAAAGTCAGGGGATCACCAAGGTTAAGACCATTCATCCTGCGGGGAACATGTCTGCACACGTCTGCACCATCCATAGCAATATATCCAAAAGTTGTCTCAAATTTTAAATTTAACAAAATGTCATCCTCATGGAGGTGCAGCAAGATTTCTCATCTGGGAACCAAGAATGTGCGAACAAAATGTTGAGCCAATCCATCCAGTAGATATTAAGCTATTTCACTGAACAAGTGGAAGCATTGACCTGCTGGTGGCGCCAGAGCAAACAGCACTCATCCTCTGGGAACAATGAACAAAATGGCTGTCGAGCTATATATCCATAAAAAGCAATGCTGGCGTTGTGAAGGAAAAAATCATTTCAAACACAAAAACTATACACAGCAGCTCCAAAAAGTCACGCAAATAATAAATGAGAGTTAATTAGTAGCATTTTTTTGCATTAAAATTATCTTTAATAACTGTAACAGCAAAGTCAATGCAACCAAAAAGGAAAATAAAGGGAATAGTACTGTATATAGGACAGAGGCTGTCCAACAAAAGTGCCTTCTGGTGCAAGAAAAGAGGAGACTACAATGATGACAAAAATATGGCACGTAAATACTGAAATGGAAATTCAACCCTGTGAATAAAAAAAAAACAACAAACAACAAGAAGTCATTGTCAAAAACAAAAGGTGGAAAAGTCAGTAATTATAAAAAAAATAGTCTGACTGGATTAATTAACTACATAATGTGTGAATGAATGCTGAGTAAAATAAGCTATGTGATGTTATGGACAAGCTGTGTTAATGATACAGATTCCATTTTTTTTCTTCTCCAGCTTGTGGCATACACAGGAATGTGTTAACAATACAGAATTCATCTGGTACATATACACACAAACTGTCTCGGAAAATTCTGTGTACCATTGGACATATTCAACTATTTACATCTCTCATTGCCTGTACAAGCAAAGGACCTCAAAACTACTCCTTCCATATGTTTGTTTTTTGTTACAAAAATAGTTCTTTTCTACAATGGATCTGAGTTTACCTTGAAATATCGAAAAACCAATCTAATCTAAATGCAAATGCATATAAACCTCAAGATGAAAACTGTGACATCTTGACTCAACCGTGGAGTGGATTTTGGCACTTCTTCATACAAACGAGTTTAAAGTACGGGACAAAGAGCATCTTCTTGGCATCAGCAGCGGCTGTCTAGCGGGTCCAGAGAGAAGATGGTGCCCTCTAAGGTTAGTCCCATTTTGAACCCCTCCTGGAAGAAAAGCCAGAGAACAGCTGTGACCTTTAGTGACCGTGTACACCGACATGGCCTCTGTGAGATGACATTTACCGATAAACAGGAAGTCAGAATAATGTTTACATTAGAGCCAATGGAGAAAAAGACTATAAAGCTCTGAAGGTAAAAGAGAATGAAATGCTGAACATGCGTTATGTGCAAGATCATAAACTCAGGTAGAAAGACGGCATGCACCTTGATGGGAGAAGCACGGTGAAACTCGTTCATATCAAATGAATTTTATGTTTACTTGTAATTGTTTTAATGCACTCTCTTCTATAAATACATAATTGCATCAGTGTGACATTGGTTTTCACTAAAGCAAACTCCCAGCAGCTCATCAACTACAGAGCAAGAGAGCTGAGAAACAAACTGCTAACTAAAGACAACACAACATTTCTGCTAAAGGGAAGGAAAACATTTCAGGGAAGATGAAGAAGTTACATCACACAGGGTTAGCGCATGCAAGACAAAGACACAGCCAGAGTCACGACACAGACGGAAGCTAGATCAGAGCAAAGAGTACAAACCATCTCTGACGCTACAAGTGGAGAGGACAAGAGGTGAATTCAGTTGTTAGTAATTAAGAAGACATTGAAGGAAACGTTTTAGGGCACTAAAGTGTGTCAGTGCAACAGTGCCTCCTATTGGCAATTCCCTGCTAAAACTCAGTGCTTGCTCAGCAGTTATTCTGCAGGAAGAATCACAGAAGTTGCAGCTGATTTTCAGCTCCAGAAGTCATTTTTTCTAATTATACAGTAATTCAAAACCTTATAATTGCGCGCTTTTCACAGACCCACAGAGAATGACGGATTGCTGTGGATATGGCATCCATACCAACTGAAGCTACAGCAGTGCTTCGCAAACAATTTCTCATTCCGCCTTTGGAAGCAGAGAAAAATGCTTCATATTTGTACTTCCTGATCCCACTTTAACCCACTGAATTGCCCTCAACCATATGAATCAACCATAATCAACAATATTGGGGGAAAAGTACACTGTAAACATCATAACGACATTTAGTGGAATCAACTAATCTTCTATTAAAAAACGTATGTAAATATGTACTTTTATGTATTTTTTAATTTATATTTCAAGTCAGGTCACCTTAAAAGTTTTATTTTTAGAACGTGAAGTCTTCTGACTTCAAATGATGAGTTGAATTCACTGCTGAGTGTTCACAGTAAGTGTCTAAAGAGCTCCCAGACAAGCTTTACTGTACGTGAAGAACACACGTGTCCGTCAATACATGTTGGACAGAAACCCAACTAATAACAGAAACAATGCCAGCCATGATGAGGCCCCTTCATCACTTGCTGCCTTTGTACCAACTCTGGTAGAAAGTGGGTCCAACAGGAGCAGCCTCAACAAGCAAACGGCGAGCGCTACTGACTGACTGCCAATGAGGTTTTCACATGTGAGGCTCAGTGAACTTGCGTTAGTCCAATTTACATTATAAAACTCATGAGACTCGTTTAATGTAGTGAACTCACGTATTTAAGGCAGCAGAACTTCCGTTTTAAAGCTGACGTTGCTTTAAGTGTTTTAAAGGTGCAACAAAACAAGTCCTGTTGAATGTAATTTCACTGGAATTATATTACCGTGGACATGAGCTGCCTAATTCCATTCACCTCACCCTGAGTTCCTGTTGAGCAAATTAAGCCCAAGCTGCCAAAAGAGAGAAAGCTGACACGCCCCACTCTGAGAGAGCCGGAGAGCGAGGTGGGAACATTTGTCACATTTTCCCCGACTTCAACTTTGACTGACGTATTTGGTTGATGAGCATCATCTGTCAAGATCTCATGCATGTTGTTTTGTGTCCAAATAAATCATGATAACAGAAATCTTGACAACCCTTATTTGTCTGTTCTGACCGCAGGAATTAGATCATCCAGCTTAAGTTGCCTTCGACATTTTTCCTCTCTGCGCCGCCCACAGAGACACCCGCCCCACAGTTTGAGAATCACCGAGCCAGCAATGACACAGCAGAAGCTAATGGCATGTTATTCCGGATAAGCCAAGATCATCAGCTGTCTGTTATTTCTGAATAGTGAATAAAATGTTAAGAATTTATTGCTTCACCAGACCAAATATACAATTACATAAAAACATATTAGGCCACTTTCACTTGTTTTCACTCCATTGAAATGCATAATGGATCATGAAAACATAACTGAGTGACTTTTTATTAATGTATTTTGAAACGAATGTGTATCCGGTTTCATGTCCCTGATATATAAATGAAGAAGTGAGACATATTCACCACTGAGTCAGCTGAAGATTACATTGAAATCTCACTGTGCTCAGCTTTTCCAGAAACAACTAAACAGGAATACAGAATTGGGTAATCCCTCACATCTGCTTGTTTTACTGCTCTATGCACAACAGTATGACAAACTTCTTCTATTTTAACATTAATCATTTTAATAAATGGGGGACTGGAGCTCTCTTGCAGTCCACAGCAGACCCTTTAGGACCAAAACTGCCCAGAAATGATTCAGCATGATGCACAAAGCCTTTCTTCATTTAAGCAAGAGGCAATTTGAATCTTCAAAGTGCTGATACTGATAATGAGACAGACTGGGGAGCTGGGTTTCACAGCTGAACCAGCCTCCGTTGTAGGTCTTTTAAACTAAATGTGGAGGGATCAGACACAGACAGGCGCTCACCTGCATCTCATCCAGCTTTGACTGAATATCTGGAGGGAAGTCAGCTGCCCCGCAGGTGAACGGATCAAACGGCTCAGCGCCAAACAGGTCTTTCCCTACAAACACAGACAGCAGATGAACAACAGCTTCATCAGACAGCGATTTAATCTACAAATATTTAAACAAAAACCAAGTGTATTTTTAACTGCAGATTTTATTTTTCGTCAGCTGGAGAACTAATTAAAACCCGTATGTGTTATGATGAGGAAGTCGCGCAGTAGCTACTCACTTATATCTGGTGGTAATGTGGTCGGTGGGGGTGGTGGACAGCCGTTGCTGGACAGTGTGGGGACCAGCGGTGTCACAGGGGAGAAGGGAACCATGTCGAAAACATCTGTAGACTGTAGCTTCGTGGAGATACTCCCTGCCTGTGAGTCAAGTCACGGAAATAATTAAGCCAAGGTCAGACTTGTGTAAGCTCGGACATAGGCAAACAACATGTTTGTACTTTGTTTATAGAAAAGCAAGAGAAGAAGCAGCAAAAAGTGAAAGAGAGACAAAAGCCAGAGATACCTCAGCCTTAGGGACAGTGACAACACACAGAGCAGAAAGACAGAAAAAGCGTAAGGTGTTTACGCGAGGCCGTGGGATGCTGCATCCCTCGGTAGGCTTAGGAGGAAGGAGAGCGGGTTTGGCAGGCGGAGGAGTTAGTAGCCCGGCGGACAAGTTGGACTCCGGCGAGCTCATAGGAGTGAGCGTGACAGAGGAGATTTCCAGACAGGAGAGCGACTTGATGCTGTGACACCAGAAGAGAGAGGAGGGCCTCTGCAGCATGTACGCTTCATTAGCTGCGTTAATGTGCAGCGGCTAAGAAAAGATCGCAGACAGAAAATGACCAGAGGGAGAAAATTATTCAGTCTTGTAGAGTAGGAGAGGTGTGGGTAGTTGCATTTGCAGGAGGCTGTCACTTGGCCAGTAATGGCATTCGGCTCAATTAATGTATCACATTCCTCATCAGACCAATCAGGTGTGTAATTGCTTTGCGTCAGACACAGCGTCGACCCCCACTGACTGCATCCAGGTAGGTTTGGTCATTCCGAGCTTGCGGTGCATTTAATCACAGGAGCAATATCAACAAACCAAGCTGCACTTAAAAATCCCGTAAGCTTAACCCTTATGCCCCACATTTGATCAACTTTCGTAATTAAAAGATGGTCTTGGTTGTGCACTTTTGGCTGATGTGGAACATTTGAATCCCAAAATGATGTGAGAGTCACGTAACATTGGTAAGCTGTTAAGTTTGTCTGCAGACACTGCAGTTAAAGTGAGACTATGTGACTAATAATCTTAGTCTTAGAAATAAAAAGTTATATTCATAAGCTATAAAATGTACCCTTGTTAAAGTCAGTACACTCAGGGGTTTAGCTGCTACACACTTACATGGTCTGGCTTTATTTCTAGGACTTGTTATTCATCACCCATCCGATGTATATCATGTTTTTATATAACATTTGCTTTTGGTGAGTAGCATATAGGGAACTAAAACTTCATCTGGTTAAATCATAAAATCAATCTTCCTTGTACCGTGTACGACCAGTGACTTATGGCGGCTAATGTTTAGGTATGTACTGTACTATGTAGCACATATTAGTCAGTTAATTCAGAAAATTTTATGTAGACTGTATCAATTTTATTCTTTAGTCTCTAAACTGAAGAGGTGAGTGTCGTGCAGTTTGTCCTTACTGGTGGGACATGAGCTATCATCAGCTGTTCTTCAAGATCTTGAAGCTGCTGCTTGAGCTCCGAGTTTTCTGTTTCCAGTTCTTGAATCTGCATAAAAACAACATCAGTTCGGTCATTTTAGAAGCCACGGCGAATGAAAGCGTGGACTGCAGAATGGCATCTCGTACTGAAACATCAAGTATGAAAACCCCAAATTAACTGCTCAGCTTTAGAGAAATTCTCATCCGACTCCCCCAAAGCACATGTCCATGCACAGTGAATGCACGGGCAGAGTGCGCACAGGTAGACAGGCAGGTAGACCAGCTGTGCTCATTACAGCACACAGCCACAGGTATTGTTTTGTTTGTTGTTGTGAGCATTTGATTTATTGATTGCTGCTTTAAGCTGAGGTGGGCACAATTTCTCTAAGAAACTGAATATCAACACAAATCCAAACACTGTCTCATGAAACAGGTCTGTCTCCAGTTTTTTTGTGATTTACATTATCTAATGCATTGGGATTTTAAATGGTTTGTTAGTAGGAGAACAGTCCCAACCTACAAAGGAACGCTTAATATTTGATTATTTTATTGAAAATTTCAAAATACCCACATTTTGTAGAAACATGGTTGTCACTGGACAATATGTTATTTTATACTGCAATATTAATACTGTGATACAGTAAATAAATTAAACAGCTGATGGGAATGTCTGCTTCTGATGAAATTAAATACAGAAACAAATTGTCCATTGATGTAAAAATCCAAAAATATTAAAGACTGTGTGTGAATGTACAACGAATGTAGATCCGTGTCTCATTAAATGACCAGTCTACCACGTTTTATGTGGAAAATAAGTCTTTAAGCTTTTTCAAGTAGCTTAAACACCAAATAATAATTATTCCAAATGCATTTTAGTCCATATCCACTGGTGTTTAGCCACCACATCCTGTGACTCATATAATTCATACAAATGTTTTAATTAATCACCATTTAAACCAGACCAATAGGAAAGCTCCACAGTTTCAGCAGGGTGCAGAATAATTCAATTGCAGATTGGGTCTGTAACAACAGAGCTTGCTATCATTAATATTCATTACTGCCATTTTCATCAACACAGCTTAATTGTCCCCGCTGAATGATTTACAAAAATCAATAGAAGCAAGCTATTCATTAATTAATGAAAATATTAATGTGTCAGCATGGTGGTACAAGTTTTCAAAGTAAATTAAAGTCTGTGTGAGAGCAAGCGAGTTGAATCAACTGGACGTGAGACCTACTCTTTTCTGAAGGCTCCCAATCTGTTTCCTGGTTTCCACGTCTTTACCTCCGGACTCCAGGAACTTCTTGTAGGCCAAGTCGAAGGCCTGACCGATGGTTAGAGTTATCTCTTCTGCCTGCAGCAGGGGGAGCAAAGACTTGCTCATGTTGCATGTCACTACAGCTTATTTAGAGTTAAATTAATCCCTGAGGTTTGACTACATAATGTCAAAATATCCATCCAAATGACACAGCGTCAAAATATAAAACGCACACGATAATTCTACATTCTGTAAAATCACGTCATGTTCAAAGAAAAGAAGCAGGAGACACTTACACACTTTTCACTGTCAAACACATAGCAGAGGTGTTTGTTGGACTCCGAGTCTTTGCAGATAAAAGTAAATATCCTTTTATCTGTTTTGTCGTCTGCACAGAAGGATATCCTGTGTAACTGACAGTTATGCTGTACATCCTAGAAAACAAACACAATGCATTCATTATGTACTGACTTCATGAATGTTGACTACCAATCATGTCTTTCTTTACGTGGTGTTTGTCGTCAGCATCCCTCCAGGTGCCCCTGCTGAATAACAAAATTCAAACATCTGGACTCACTTTTGTCTTTAGATCTAGTATCTTCACGCCGTAAATGGAGATCTGCAATTCTACTTTGGGGGTCTTCTGTCCCTCTGACTTCTTGATATGTCTCTGAAACTGCCAGTGAGGGAAATCACAAACAGAAACGTTTGATCAGTTCTCCCTGATATTTATAAGGAACAAAAAACACATGATAATGACGCACAGCAGTACAACTAGAAGCTTAGCTCCAAATCTTTTCAAAAACATAACCCATAAAAGCAGAACAAGCAGAAAACACAACAATGTCCTCTCAAAAAGTTGTTGTGTTGAGAAATGTGCTAGCAATCAAGTACCTATTTTGCACCTTTTGCAGACACAAAGCAACATTAGCATTTATTTGAAATACATTTTTGGCATATCTAAGTCCAACATTCACAGCTGCTAATTGCTCTGCTCCTCGCTAACTTTGTCGATCTGCTGATTGGTGCTGATCAGGGAGTACTAGTACTAGTATTAGAACTGAGGGTTGATCACAGCTGATAACTAATCAGAGAAGTGCCAAAAAATGATATTAGGATATTTTCTGGGATTTTGTCAATAACAATAATTAGACAGTATTTGGCATAATGTGTTTGTAAAAGTCTAACAAGCTGCACAAGCTTAGTTCTAGTTAATAGGATGTTAAGTGTTTCTTACTAATGACATTAATGGAAACAGGTCTTATTTATTTAAATCTGAAGCATTCAAGTAAAAACAATATAAAACACTGAAACCTCCAGTGCAAGTATTACTGACATCAAACACGTCATATGTAGCTATAGCCATGAGCTTGCAGGTTAACGTCTTCCGAGCAACGTCAGTCTTTCCAAAGCCAAACCACCTGCATGCCATGAGGTTGATCCACGGCTAGCAATTCAGTCTAACTGTGTAGATTAGTAGGGTCAGTGCTGTTAGTTCACTTATTTTTAACTTGATTTTGTTGCCTTTTTTAACTCTAGCACATGTATACTGCATGCATGACGCAGTGAATGCGCGGTCAAGGAGTTTTTTGCAAAGGTAGTGACATAGCCTACTCGCTAATGTCTGCTCACACATTGCTTCTTACTTTTAAGATACAAAAATATACAAAAAAGCCTCTGTATTATCAGTTCAAATGAACTGTTATCACTAGATTTTAAAAAAGGTCATCTTAAAAATGCCCAGTTTAAACAAAATGTTTAATCTGTGAATTTTTCCCCTCTAAAATCAGTATATTGTTTGGGCTCTTGTTTAACAAAGTATTACAAATCTGTGATTTTTCCAAATGGCCACTCTTTTAAGCACTGCGAAAAACATTCAGTTATGTTGCCAATGGACATAAATACTTACAGGACTTGGCAATGACTTTCAATCAATAATCAATGAAAATGTGTGTTAAAAAGAAAGTGAAGACACTGTGTCATTACATGTAAGATAATACATACTATCATGACCTATTATGAGTTAAATGTTGAGGAAGTATCTAATATTATCCTAAACTATAGCCATGAAAATGAAATAAGATGTTTGTCTGATTTCACTTTTTAATGTGGAACCCTGTGAAGACAGTGTGTGTGTGTGCGTGTGTGTGAGTGTGTGTGGCAATAAGATTATTTTTACAGCTTCTAACATTCTGACACTTAAAAGCTTACAGTAAAATCATATATTCATTCATATGCAGACACGAACACGAACAGACCGGGAGAGAGAATAGTAAGTGCGTGAGATTTATCTTACTTGAATTAAAACACAAGCATTTATATTCTAACTGATATGAGACTACAGTATTTTACCTAAATCATGGGCACATGCCTTCCAGGGCTGTCTCTCAGTTCTCATTTTTCAACTACCAACCATCGTTTCCCTTACAGAGTCTTTGAAAAGATAACTAAGCCTGTCCTAAAACCGGCTTTCAAGATCAAATGTAATGTAACAATAGAGCTATGGGTTTGGGAAAAACAGTCCTCCCCTCCGAGTGGCCTCACAGATTCAACTCTTGGCAGGAGAAGACAGAGGACAGGCCAGCAGGCAGCAGGGGGAAGCCACGTTACCAAGAAGCTGTGAGAAAGGAAAAGTGGTCCGGGCTGTGGCTGTTCCCTGCATAAAGGCTAGTTTGGTTACAACTCATGGACATTGCAACATGCACACAACCATGCTGCAATGACCACAGGCTAGTGACTGATTTATGAATATGTGTGACTAATTTGGGTTAGACAGTTACACTAGCCTATGTGTAAGATAACAGGCTTTATAAATGGCAAACATATATGTTTTATTGTGCGTTTGCTATTGTAATGATAAGTAAAGTTTATAAGCAATTGATTTTACTGCATGGCTTAATCACTAGTCCTTAGTCACTAAGGACCTGATTTATGTAGGAAAAAACAATTGAGAATTAAATATTAAAGCTGCTGGAGTCAATATTCTTATATTAATCGTCTTTCAGCTCATTGTTTTGGTCTCACCGGCCTCATTAGCATTGTTTCTAGAAGCAGCAGGCTGTTTTCAGCAAAAGCTCTGAAAAAACCCATCTGTCCAGCACTATATAGCAGACAGACAAGTTAGCGAGTAGATGGTGAACTTGATGGAACATTTAACTGCTAAAGAAGCTGATATTTCCCTCAGGAGCTGGTGGAAACAAAAGCAGAGCTGAAAGTAGAGTTGGTCACTAAACTCCCTTTTCCACTGCACGGTACCAGCTCAACTCGCCCCGACTCTACTCGCCTTCTTTGGTTTTCCATTGGGGAAAAGTTCTACCCGTACCTCCTGCCTGGTATATCGAGGTTCCAAGCGTGCTTGCCTATTCACAAATCTAGCAGACACAGAGCAACATCAGCAAGTTCTGTTTCTGGCAACCTGATCTCTGTAAGCTCCGGCGTGTGACCAAAAATCTGTCCACGGAGACAAATAAAATTTTTGGTCGCACCAATGGACCAAACATTTCGCTGGACAATTTTTTGTCGTCCTTATCTCTGTCTGTACTTTCCCCAAAACTCACCTGTGGAAGAAGGTGCGAGCCAATCAAAAGCAAAAGGAGGAGCGCTAGATTTATACGCTATGGCGTTGGCAACGCACGTACCCTCGCATTTATGCTGTGCTGGTGTCTGTGTTGCTCTGCAATTACACCGTTTCTATGTTCCACTGCGTTGTAACTGGTTTAGCCCTGTAAAACAATAACTGTGCAGCTCTTTTAAACTTTCAAAATGTTATCGACAGAATGGATCAAACTCTGATAGTGAAATGAGTCATTTTGTGACGGTTGTGATAAAGAAAGCATCCACTGCTTTACAGCTGCGTTTTTGGCCGCTAGGAAAACTGGCTTCAAAACGTCCTGGAAGCTTGGAGAAAATGCGATGTTACCAAGCTGACCGATCACAGTTCTTGTGCTCTGCTCGCCGCAACGTGTTGTTAAATTTTTTGTGAGGTGCAAGTTGGGGTAACCACCAGCATTGATGACGCGGTACTGTACATTGGCGGTTCCTCGCCACTGATTGGCGCTGTTGTGAGAACTAAGGTGTGTGTGGTTGTTGGTATGGGAAATGATAGAACGTTATAATATACTGTTATGGTGCTAACGGTGCTGTGAAAAATGTGGGTACACCGAAACTTTGTGGCAGTGCATCTACATGAAACATTAGTAGTGCAAACAATGCAAGACGGTTTCTGTGAGAGGAACCTGTGAGCCAAACCCTAAAACAACAAGTTCAAGGAGACTGAAATACTGTGTAGAGCTGAGATGAGCTGCAGAGTTGGTGATAATTCTGTGTTAGTTACTACAAGCCTTGCACATTACACGTAGTGATTTAAACCAGTGTTTATATATGCAGCTTTAATCGATGCTAACAGTGTAATTTAGTATTAAAGGCTTATATTGTTTCAAGAAATCAATTTTCCCCCCATTTATATGCAAATGTAGGCGGCAGTGACGAATTAGATGATCTAATTTCATACTAGGAACCACTGGTGGAGAATATTAAGTGTCAAGAGTCTTTATGATGTGTCACTGAGTTCAGTGTATATTAAAGTACCTGTGTGCTAATAAAGTGACTCATTAAGTAAAAATGTTATATTATTCAAGACGAAATGTTATAGTCAGGGTAAGAAACAACAGGTTTCATGACTGATAAAGATACTAATCTACCCGGGGAAGGTTGACTGCTGTGTGTATCCAGCAGTTAGAGGCATCCACACTCGGGAGCTGAGAAAGGGCACCTTGCTGGTAACTGATGACGGTAACTCAGTCCCACCTCCCCTGCTTCTGAGTCTCCTATCCAATCCGGTCAACTCAAGAACGCTTTCCTATCCTTTAGGCTACAGCTTATTCTGAGGACTGGATTTACCTTTAGCTTTCTGACTGCATCCTTTACAACCTCTGTGCCTTTTGGGGCTTCAACCTCTGTGTTTCCAAGGAACTGGAAAGAGAACAAAAAGGCATACATCTATGATATGACAGTAACACAACAAAAACTTATAGAATAATGCACATATGGAAGTGTTTGGTGCAATAAATGGCAAATAAAGGTAACAAAGAGAAGATAGAAATGACAGAAGCATGCTTTCAATGGACCTGAAAAACAAGTATTTCATAAATCAAACCATGGAATTTGGTCATAAACTGTAGGACAGCAGACTTCTATCTGCTTAAAGAATTAACCCCTTTATATTAGCACGCCAATCACATGTGACATTTGAGCAAATGTAATCGGGTATTTCTTATTCTTAAGTTCAACTGAATGTAGATAACATCTGTATTAAATTATTCCTCCTCACCTCTTTCAGAGACGTTCATTTACCATCTTCTACCATTTCATTTGCTATGGTACAAAGCATTTGAGGGATGCATGTACACAAGTGCGCACACACACACACACACACACACACACACACACAAGAGCAGCACTTCTGCCACTCTCCAACAGATGGAGCCATTAACCTTTGTGCCTGGACATCGTGTTTTCCATCTGGCGGCAGCAGCAGTAATTGTTCCAGTCACACACACTGCTTCAGTGCCTCCTGAGCTTAATGTGTGTAGCCTGTTCCAATATCAGACTTCATAAACACTGATGTCAGCCCCTTAAAGGTTGGGGAAAAACAAAATAACAATGTCTCCCTCTGGAATACAGCAAATGGCTCAGACAGACATGGACTGTCTTTCTGACACAACATAATCTGCGTACAGCTTTCCATGACTGGCCTTTGCTAATGTCCGTTTACTTTTGCAGCTTGCAGATGAATTGTCCCTGTGTATACTTTTTATGGAATGGTTGTCTGTCCAGCACACTGTTGTTCAGGGCATTTAATGAAGTTGGCAGCTTTGAACTGAAATTTGAACTGACATTTTGTGAAGCTCGGTGTTCAATTAGAGGAGTTTTTATTTTAATTATAAAGAACGACCAGTGTCAACATGGGACTTTTTTCCACATTTCTTAATGAAGCAGGAGAAACAACACAACAATGGCAATCATCAGAGAGCCAGAAAACAGATTGAGGCTTTATACAAAAGTGTCAGCTCCCTGCACCGCTGTGACAAATGTACTCTACACCTACTTAAGGACATGTCTGAGAGAGCCGCTGACAGACGCCCAGAATAGAATGGAGAAGCACTTGTTCCTGACCAGTGCATTCTGGGCTACGACTGGGGAGGTTTCACAAGGTAAACCAAGCTCGGAGGCTCATCCATCAACTGGTGCACGCAGCTGGAAAACGAACCACTCCTGTCCTTCATTCCACACAGTGAGAGTTCACCCTTTAGCTTACGAGGGACTGTGCACCCTCAAATGCAAAAACCAAACTCAATATGCACACAGAACACCAAGGCCGTAAGTTTCATATCAAAATTGGAGGGGACACGTATAAAGTTGGCGTCTTCGGGTCCTTTAAATACCCACGTGGCACCTATTCACCTCAGTGATAAATGAATTCATTTATAAACCCCAGGACTTTAATAGCTCCTGTGTTTCAGCAAGTTTTCTGCTCATGTTCAAAACTTTCTGCACATCAAAACAATCAAAAATCCTTCCTGGGGACAGTGGTCGCTGTGTGTCCATCTAATTCTACACCCTTGCAGACAACACACTCCCACAGCAGGTCGTAAATTTCATCAAGATGACACAGCGAGGAGCGAAAACTGCACTCCGAGCTCCACGCCATCGTCTATGCACAGCTCACTCCTCCTGATGGAATGGTTCTCGGATTTTACCGAAGCAGTTTCAGAAAGGGCAGGATCTGTGTCATGTGCAATCGAAGTGACTCCAGATTGTTATGTGATTTGAATGTTGATGTTAGACACACTTATCCCAGCGGCTCGCAAATTCACCTCTGGCCCCTGGACTGACAAATCATTCATCAGTTCATGACATGCTGACAATTTGGCATAAACATGAAACTTGTGGTTTCTTGAGAGATATATATATATATATATATATATATATATATATATATATATATATATATATATATATATATATATATATATATATATATATATATATATATATATGGCCCCTCAGTATCAATTAGAGGTACACCTAACAAATATTTAATTGATTAAGCTGGGGATTATTTTCTTTATTAATGGCTTTGTCGCTAAAAATTGAAATGTATTCAAATAGCTTGTTTTATTTAACCAACAGTCCAAAGCCCAACAATATTGAGTTTACTAGCAGAGGTTGTTTTACTGTAATGATGAATCAGTTATCTAAATACTCTGACTAATCATTCCAGCTCTTATATCAGTGTCGCATCACTGAAACACAGCAGCACACCTGTCCAATCTCTTCTCTGTGAAATAGATACTTTCAAACATGGCAAAGATTTTACTGAGGAACTGAGGTCATGTGGAAGTTGCTCAAATCCAACCCCCTCCCAAATGTTTATCTTTAATTCTTCATTAATGTCATTTTCAGTTAGCTGTTCAACCATATTTTTTTATATAGAAAATTAAACTATTCTGTCAAAGTTCTTTCTCTGGAAATCAAGAACTGCTTATAGACTAAAGTAAACATCCCAGAACTTTAGCTCAGATTAAGCATAAAATTACATTTGTCTTTCCATCAAACTACAGAAAATGTTTAAGAATTCACTGACCTGTAAAAGGAAGGATTTAGATCTGACTGACAGAATTTTACAGTTTTTGATAATCATGCACTTCAAGTCAAGTGTGTGTGTAGCTACACAACTCTTGCATACTACTAAACCCACTGGCCTAATATTATTATGCACATTTATGATGTTTTGTCCAGGACCTCTTATGGTGGCAGTGATTCGCAATTTTTGAAATTCCATTTAGTCCATTTAAACATTTAAATACAAGCTTTACATACTAAAAATCTTAATGTGAAACAGTGAATCCGTAACTTCTTTATTGTTTAGTTGTGTTCTTGTTGTCTTTGAAGTATTCCGTTAAAAAGAAAAGTCTAATAATAAATTAAATGTTTTTAACTGTAGATTATAAAACTCACAAAATGCCAGAAACATCTTAAAAAACCATCTTAGTGTCCTCACAGCTGCAGCCCTGCATTCTGCTGTAGGATCTGTCACAGATCAAACTTCATGTTAGGGTTAATTCCAGAAAGGCTGGAGGAAACCTGTGGGATCACGAGAAGAGGAAAATATTGCACATGATTTAGTAGTGCCATCAAATCTAAATGATTCAACACACGACCTTGTTGAATTAATGCATCAAAATACTTCTGGATTTACCTGAGACATAAAGTTCTAACTAGCAAGACAGTTGTACAGTAAATTCAGCTTATTTTCAACAACTGTGATGCTTTAAAGCAGGGAGAATAGGCCAAGCACAGTCTCAGCACATTAGCCGTCTCATTCCCTCCATTTCCTTCAGCGATGTGTGATGTACTCGGATCTCAGCAAATTTAGCCAGACAGGCAACTCATCGGTGAAAGCGGACAACATGCTTTGATTTTAAAGATGTCTCCTGTGCCAGCTCCCCCTGCTTCTTTGCTGCATACACTTAGGGAGCTTCAGAAGTTCGGGGGATTTGGTGGTTTTGGAGTTCCACCTCAGTTCCATCGTAACAGGAGAGAAACTCTTTGTCGAAATGAAGCAGAAAACCCGTCTGAAAGAGAAGTGCTCCCAAGTGAGACAGTCCCCCTTCAAGATGTGTTTGTTGGATATATTCGAAAGAGATTTTTATTTTATTTTTTTTAAGTGATTTGCAACAAGCCGTGTTTCCAGTCAAGGGCGGAGCCGCCATTTCATTTCAAGTTATTCTCAGGACCAGGAGTTTTGGCAGGTTCGGACAGAAGCTTGAGTCACTTTACATAAACACCCCACACTCGTAAATAAATACAGAAATCAAGAAGGTGAAAACACAGAGATACTCTCTCTTTCACCCCGTCACAGCACCGAGGGAAAACTGCTGCTCGGGAAGATAAATCCTACAATATACAGTTAGACAGTTCATACTTGCAGTGAAGTGCCGTCCAAAAAGAATCACCCACCATTAAATATCCAAAATATCGTTTTCACATAATTGTTAAATGAGGTAACTTGGAAAATAAACGCATGCTGTGAAGGACCAAAGGGCGTTGGGGCAATGCTGGCGGCTCCATCAGGTGCCAAGAGAGAGAAAAACTTCATGCAGCTTGTCTAATGAGAAAAGCATCATGGAACACCTGGACTGAGAGGTGTTGCTTTGATAAACCTGACGGAGAGGAAGCAAATCAGCAGGAAGGTGGGAGGGACAAACCACAAGCCTCCCACTCTAGTTTAATGGCAAAATGCTTCTCTGGTCTTTTTACAGTCACAATGCGCTTAATGCTCATTATAATGCAACAGTCTAGCAGTGAAACATACCTTGACATTGTAGGGTATGTAATGCTTGGCCAGTGCCTCCGGGGTGTGCATCCATGATTTATCTGCAACGACACAAACAGCTCACTCAATACAGCAGTCTGAACCAGTGGTCTCATGCAATAAGATACGGCAAGTACACAATAGGCTTGTGCTGACTGGCGATTGGATCTGCAATCAGGGATTGAAGGGATCATCAGTGATTGGCTTTTCATGTGCTGAGGTGATTTTAACTAGCTCACTATCAGAACTAAGATGACACAAAAATAGTGTCTAGAATCTGTACCACACTGCAGTGTTTCCCATTCATTGATTTATTGGTGGCGACACGACACGCCTCTCTCTCACAAACACATTGAAACAGAGCTGTGTGTAATGCATTCAGGTTAACTCTATCTTCTATCATTAAATCTATTTTCTTAACACAATTTCAAAAAAGTTACAAGCAAACATGTAAGGAGCCTAGCTGGTAAGGATTGCTATGTTTACGTTAGACTCCAGCTGGGTTGTCGAGGTTAACACGCTGTACACAGCTGCTAGTCAATTCCGATTGCACGCCACAGTGCCATAGTTACACAGTAATTCTGTGCGAAACACTGTAATGTACATTACATTTGCAGATGTTTCTGGTGGCTTCTCTTTAAACTAATAAGCCTTTTTCTTCCATGCTGGCATTTCACTGACTTGCTGCAACGTTACGCCCCCCCGGTAATCTCAAGTTTCCATGATTAGACAATATGAAAATAGAGAAGATAAACCTAGTATACAAGTGGTTAAAAAGGAACGAAGAGGAATTAATATTCTGGAACAAAAACACAAAACTAACATCAAAGAAAAAGGCAATGCTTTAGGAACGGCTTCACTCTCACACAGTTAGTCTGATTTGTTGGTCAGTGAGCAGCTCCACCAGAACAGCTGGGGTTACGGGTCATAATCAACAGTGGCAATAAGGCAAGGGAAAATGCTGCTTTTCACTTCCCCACCCTTATCTGTCCTTCTTCTTGATCAAGTGATACCATTCTAAATCAATGGATAAACGTTAGTGGACACACAGAAGTGAATGTGTACCTGATGCTGCAAATTAAAGGTACCCTGTGGAGTTTCTGTCCACTAGTAGCTCTATGGAGCAATGCTCTCAAAAGGGGGTCCCTGTTTTGTTAGGGTTTGGGAGTATCATGCACATCTGCAAGAACACACGCAGGGTAACGCAATGCACATTCCTGCTGCCAGCTTCACTCTATTCCACTGATTGACAGCTGGTGGCAGTTACATGCAAAGAAGCACAGCAATGACCCCACAGGTAATGAACATGGATGTAAACATTGCACAACTTAAAATATTTTAAGAATCCACATTGCAGGTGTTTTGATGAGGAAGGAAAAACTGTAAACATGAGTTTTGGCGAGAAATACTGAATGTAAACGTAACTTTTGTTTGTTTACAGGAAACTCCACAGGGCACCTTTAAGGTGAAGATGAATCTGTGAAAGCTCAAAGTCCAACAAAACGTTTTTAGGAACCACAATCCAGGACGCACTTTTTACCTTGTCACACAAACGTACATACAGACACACTCCGCACATTCGTCTGGCCTGAGTGTATGTTGCTAGGTAACCAGTGTTGTAGTCTTGACCGCCCAAACTGAGACCAAGTCAAGACCAAGACCAGTTCCCGACATTACATGACACAAAATGTGGAACGAGATCATACTTCTCAAATTGATCTGAAAGATCCACATTCCTATAAAAGTAAGCATCTTTATTCAACACGCCTTTCCCATGTTTACCATTGCAGGGAGGGGCGACAGTCGTTAACGGAAACAACGCATTTTTAATTATTATAGGTTATAGGTTGCATTGGAAGCAATATGTTTTACATCCTCAAAGTTAGGATGTTAACAAGTACATCAAACAATGCAAAAGCAATGTATTGATATTACCAAAGTCATGGTCTTGACTGGTCTTGAAATAAAATCCAGAGTCCTCAATGTCCGAGACAAGACCGAGTACAAATGTGGTCGAGACCGAGACCATCAAAAAGTGGTCTTAAAACCGGTCTTGAGTACTACAACACTATAGGTAACATCTGGACAAGCTGTACATTTGCTGGTTGTCAATAACAAACACAGCACAGAGAGTCTAGCAGTCACATTTAGGCATAACAAAAAGGAGGTAAAAATTACAATTCAACTGTTGTGCTAATGAAACAACAGCACTCAGCCATTTTAATATTATCCTGTGATAGCAAGCGTAGGAAAGAGTTCATTTGTCTGTTTTCAAGTGCTATTACGCAGATGATCGAAAGCTAATAGATTCTCGATGTGACTGGAAGATACTCTTAGCAGACACTTATTGGTTGACTATGAACAGAAGAAATCTTGTATTTTGAAAACTGTTTCACAGAGTTAATATAATTTAAATGAACATCAAACGAGTATGATTTATCACAAATATTCACTCTACAACTTGTTGTATTGTGACAATAAAATCTACCTACCTATTAGTCCTACTAGATCCTAAAGTGTCGATATTTCTGATACCGTTTCCTGCTCCAGGATCGATACTCATTTAAAAGGATCGATATCTAAACCCAGTCATTTGGAGTGAGTTTGTGTTTTATCATAAGTATCTTGTCACCAGGATGGTCCAATTATACTCGGTTGATAGGAACTACTTTTCCTTCCGCCTGTCAAAGTCCTGCTTGCACTACGGCTCTGTGACAGAGCTTCTTTGAAGTGAGCCGCTGCAGCCCTTACACGATTGAATACCGACTCTGGCCGACTGTAGAAACAGTCACGTCTGGCTGTATTTTAGCTGTGAAGGTAATAATGTTGCTCTGTGTGATGTGTGTGCAAAGGCAGTGAAATACTTTGGCAAAACCGCAAACTTCGCTAAACATCTGAGATCAAGTCAAAATAATATGATGATGTTATGAAGCGGCAGTTCTGAGCAGGATTTCACTATAATTAAAGAATATGACAGTAGGGGAGAGCCGGGACGATTGAAACGCGGGACGAATGAAACACAGCGATTTTCTTGGAGCCCACACAAGTCTGATATTCCAAACTACCTCAGCACATAAAGTCCACAGTAACAGAACAGGGAAAAATCAGGTGGATACGTCACACTTTCACAGAGTTATATGAAAGAAGCTGTTTTCAATCACGGAAAGTAAATTCACTCAAGCAATCTTTTTTTTTGAATGATGAGTTGTGTTTATTGTTCCATATGCCATGGTCGTGATCACATAAAAGATTAATTAGTACTTTAACACATTCGGAAATTTTAAATGTCAAAGTTTTACAGTTTAGAAGCTAGTGAAGATTAAACATCAGGAGCCACTGTCGACACGCAGCCATTCTACCTCATTTAGAAACGGCGGGAGGGGGGCAGAGTCCACTGGGCTGCAGGCTGGACCACCAGGATGCTCACAGACCTTTCGTTCAAAGTGAAATTATACTTCAGTCGTTCCACGTTTTAACAAGATAACACCTGGTATTGATAGAGCACACACGTGAGTTGTTGATGTCAACAACAAATGATTTCTGTCTGTAACGTTATATTTTAAAATGACGTATATCTGAAAAGTGTTTCAATCGTCCCGGCTCTCCCCTAGTATAATGTCTTGTCATTATGCAGCTATCATTTTGAATTGGTAAGGCTACAGCTTACTCCTTATTTCTCTCATAAATACAGAAACGGCAGAAGGGATGTCACATTAAACTAGAAATAAAATATGTAAAAAGTATTGGTATCGGCAATACCAGCCTGGGTATTACTTGGTCCTGGATCGGACAGGAATTAATCACTACTATCTATATCACATATGATATCACATTATCTAGAAAATGACTTACTTCAAATTGACCACAGAGAAAATCTTTGAAAATCACACAGACACAAACTGAGCAGTGGATCAGAGATCATTACGGGCCACTGATGGTTTTCAGCATGTCTTAATCACCCAACTGATTAAGGATCCTTCTCTTTCTTCATTTCCCCATTCATAAACAGATAATCGCCCTGTTAATGAATCTTGCGACAAAAGATGCATGACTGTGACCTTGGGGCAAGCAAATCCTGCAGGGTGACTGCGTTGATCAAGACTGTACCATGTCCTCCGCACAAGTATGCTAATGACTTTGTTTACATTGATGTTGTTGGCTAAGTGGCTTGATGAATTCATAGTCTATTCTAATTAGTGTTAATTTGGTGCTCTGCATTTGCTTAATTGTGATTGGTTATGTTTGCTAATCTAGCATATTATTTACAAGGAAACCAACAGGCTTATTATGTTTTATTCTTCTGGAAATCACTCTGCGGGCAGGAAATTAACAACGGTACAGTGAGACGACCACTAACGCACAAGGATGGTAACTTTGTTTGACTTTTCAGACACTGCGTGGTAACTTGGGAGCCTTTTCCTTTGCTTAAATTGTCCTCCTTTTTAGTCTGCTTAACAGCTGTGCAATGAGATAATCCCTGCCTGCACCTTGCAATAGCCTCCTCCAAAGTGCAATCAGTTTCCTTGTGGGACTCTCAAATGAAAGTTGATAGAAGGATGATGTACCGCCTCCTTTCACGTTGAGCTAAGGAAGCTAAGATACTGTGAACTCCAAGAAAGAATAAGGAGCAGGGAAGGATGAGAGTGGCGAGGGCTGACACAGCGGCACGGCAGGTAGGCTGACATTTTTTCAAGGTGTCAGCACACACTGTTCTGATTAAAGGAGGGAAGGTGGGGGACATACTTCTCTCTCTCTCTCTCTCTTTGCTGCATAAAATGGCAACTACGTGAGCACACCAAAAGTGGGAAAAGTCACAAGTGCTGCCCAGGGTTTGCCAAAAGGGAAGATTAACTGCTGGGGCGTAAGGATGAGCCGTGGCGTTTGAAGGTCACTGTGTGGTTGAGTTGTCAGGTGTTGGATGAAGATGGAGGGAAAAGTGTCAATGCCTCTCTGTCACGCTGTAGTGTACGACATTCAGGTCTCTGGAGACAGGAAGCGCATTGCTTCTCAGTGCTTTCCGGTTTCCTGCGGGACCAGTTATGACGTGTGAAAGCATAAAGGT